CACGAGACGATGCAGCAGCAGCAGCAGCAGCTGCAGGACCTGCGGCAGCAGCAGCAGCCCTTGCTGCTGAAGGCTAGGCAGCTGGAAGCAGCACTGGAGGAGCAGCAACGGCAGCACAAAGCAGCAGAGCAGCAAGCAGCAGAGTGGAAGGCGAATTACCACAACATGGTCAAACGTTTTGAAGGAGTAGGCGCTCTTGCTGCTGTTGCTGCTGCTGCTGTTGTTGTTGCTGCTGCTGCTGCTGTTGCTGCTGTTGTGACAGGTGGCGCTCTCATGGGAGACCAAGCTTCGGCGCGATCGTTGCCGTGGCTGCTGTTGCTAGCTTTGCTGCTGCTGCTGACTTCGCTGCTGCTGACTCTGCTGCTGCTGCTGCTGCTGATTTTGCTGCTGCTGCAGGTGGATCGGGGCGAGCTGGAGCAGCTGCGCCAGGAGAAGAGCCGCTTCGCGCAGCGCATGCAGCAGCTGCTGTCGGAGAGGCAGAAGGATGCAGCAGCACTCAGGGTTCGGTTGCTGTTGCTGCTGCTTTGCTGCTGCTGTTGCGGGTGCTGCTGCTCATTCTACTGCTGCTGCGGCTGCGCGCTTCTGTTGCTGCCCGTTTCGCTACTTTTGTTGCTGCTGCTGGTACGGCTGCTTGTTTCGCTCTGCTGCTGCTGCTGATGTTGAGTGTTTTGCTGCTGCTGTTGCATTGTTGTTCTTAGCTGTTTGTGACTATCTGCTGCTGCTGTGTTGCTGTTGCTGCTGCAGGATAGTGAAGCTAAAAGGAGTGAGCTGGAGGCGGCAGTGAGCAAGCTGCAGCAGGAGGTGAGCAGCAGCAGCACGGAGAAGCACCAGTTGCAGCAGCAAGTGCAGCAGCTGCAGCAGCAGCAGCAGCAGGCGCGACAGCAGGAGCAGCAAGCCGCAGCTGCGAAGCAGCAGCTGCAGCAGGCGCAGGAGGAGCTGCTGCGGGAAAGAAAGTCCAACGAAATGCTGCGGTCGAGGCTGGGGCAGCAGCAAAAAGGAGCAGCAGCACTAACTCCAGAAGTTGCTGCTGCTGTTGGCCGCGTAATGCGGCTGGGGGTTGTGTCTTCTGCTGCAGCGCAGCAGGCGCTGCATGCAGTTAAAACAGCAGCAGCAGCAGCACACGACGAGGGCAGGAAGCAGGCTTTGAAAGATGCTGCTGCTGCTGCTGCTCACCAGGAGATTGCTGCGCTGCAGCAGCAGCGCCAGCAGCAAGATAAGGAGCTCGCTGGCGTGCGCCAGGTGCTGCAGCAACAAACGGCGGAAAACCAGGTGCTGCAGAAGCAGCTCGCAGAGCAGCAGCTGCTGCTGCAGCAGCAAGCTGCGGCTGCGGAAATGGAGCAGCACAACTTGCTGGCGCAGCTGCGCCGCACTCAAGAGGACCTCAGGAAAACCCAGCAGCAGCAGCAGCAGCAGCAGCGGCAGCTAGAGCAGCAGCAGCAAAAGCAGCAGCAGCTGCTGGAGGGGCAAGGTGCAGTAGAAGCTTCAATGCTCTTGATGCTGCAGCAGCAAGAGCAGCAGCAGCAGCAGCAGCAGCGGAAGGCAGCCATGTCAAAGCGCGTAGTGCGCGGGCAGCTGCTGCAGCAGCAGCAGAGACCAGGGAAAGTGCTGAAGCTGCAAAAGACAGGTGACGTCAGTGCTGCGACAGCAACAGCAGCAGCAGCAGCACCAGACGCAGCAGAAGCAGCAGAAGCAGCTGCAGCCGCTGGTGAACAGGAGCAGCAGCAGCCAGCGGAAGAGCAGCAGCAGCAGCAGCAGCAGGAGGGCGAGCCCACTGGCGAGTCCCAGCAGCAGCCGCAGCAGCCGAGCGAAGCAGAGGAAGAGCAGCAGCAGCAGCAGCAGGAGGAAGACGAGCAGCAGCAGCAGCAGCAACACGAAGAAGTGCAAGAAGATGAACAGACACACGACTCTGACCTGCAGCTGCCAGACACAAGCAGCACCCCTCAAGACATGGGGGAGGAAGCAGCAGCAGACGCTGCTGCAGCAGCAGCTGCTGCTGCAGCTGAAGAGCAGCAAGAGCAGCAGGAGATGCTCACCGAGCAGCAGCACCAGCAGCACGAAGAGCAGCAGCAAGACGAAGATGACGAACACGACGAGGAGCAGCAGCAGGAGGAGCAGCAGCAACACGAAGAGCAACAGCAGCCAGAGGAGCAGCAGCACCAAGAAGAGCACCAGCAGCAAGAAGAGCAGCAGCAACATGAAGAGCAGCAGCAGCATGAAGAGCAACAGCAACAGCATGAAGAGCAGCAGCAGCAGCAGGAAGAGCAGCAGCAGCCGCAGGAAGAGCAGCAGCAGCCGCAGGAAGAGCAGCAGCAGCAGCAGGAAGAACAGCAGCAACAGCAGGAAGAACAGCAGCAACAGCAGGAAGAACAACAGCAACAACAGGAAGAACAGCCGCAGGAGGAAGAGCAACAGCAAGCTGAAGAGCAGCAGCAGCAGCAGCAGGAAGAGCAGCCGTCTCCAATGGAAGACGTCAGTGAGGAGTCGCCGCAGCAGCAGCAGCAGCAAGAGGGGGAGCAAGAAGAGCAGCAGCAGGAAGAGGAGCAGCAGCAAGACATGTATTCTTTAATGGAGGAAGATGATCAGCAGCAGCAGCAACCTGACTCTGCCTCACCAGCAGCAGCAGCACCGGAGCCCCCCACAGCGCTTGACTCTGCCTCGGCGGAAGAGCAGCAGCAGCAGCAGCAGCAGCAGCCGCAGCAGCAGCAGCAAACTGACGATGAGGGGCCTGAAGAGCTCGTTACTGAGTCT